CCCCAAAACCCCAAAACCCCAAAACCCCAAAACCCCTTGCCGAGTTAAGAAATAGAATATATAAATATTATTAAAAATGTTATTAGCCTCAGTACTGAGAAGCAGAAAGAATGCTTCCATGATCTATAGAGCAGCAAGGAACTTCTCACAGACCATGACTTGTAGAGAAGCAATCTACTCGGCCATGGACGAAGAAATGCAAAGAGACTCCAAGGTTTTCCTCATGGGAGAAGAAGTCGCAAGATATTACGGAGCGTACAAAGTTTCAAAAGATTTGTTCCAAAAGCATACAGAGGATAGGGTCGTTGATACTCCTATCACAGAAGCTGGATTCACTGGACTCGGAGTTGGAGCAGCTCTGTATGGGCTCAGGCCAGTCATTGAATTCATGACCTTTAATTTCTCAATGCAAGCTATCGATCATATCATCAATTCTGCAGCAAAAATCAAGTATATGTCAGCAGGAGATGTGCATTGTCCAATAGTATTTAGAGGGTTAAATGGTTCAAGTGCAGGAGTAGCTGCCCAACATTCTCAATGTTTTGCTGCTTGGTACTCTCACTGCCCAGGTCTCAAGGTCGTTGCCCCATACACTGCAGAAGATGCTAGAGGTCTCCTCAAGGCATCTATTAGAGATGACAACCCAGTTGTCTTCCTTGAGCATGAGCTCATGTATGGAAAAGATTTTGATATCTCCGAAGAAGCCCTTGATAAAGACTTCACTATCGAAATTGGTAAAGCCAAAATCGAAAGGGAAGGAACTGATGTGACCATCGTTGGATTCTCAAGAAGTGTTGATCACTCTCTCAATGCAGCCAAGATTCTTCATGAAGAACATGGTATCAGCGCTGAAGTCATCAACCTGAGATCAATTAGACCCCTCGATAGAAAAACAATTATTGAATCAGTCAAAAAGACTAACAGATTAGTTACTGTAGAAGATGGATGGCCTCAAAGTGGTGTAGGAGCAGAAATTTGTGCATTAATGATGGAGACCTCTGCATTCGACCACCTCGATGCACCAGTCGAGAGAATTACCGGAGCTGATGTCCCAACCCCATATGCCATCTCCATTGAAGAGTTAGCCTTCCCATCTGCTGATATTGTAGTCAAAGGAGCCTTGAGAACCTTAGAAAGAAAAATATAAATTTTATATCCCAATTTAAATACGAACATATCAACTTAAATAAGCAAAATTGGGGTTTTGGGGTTTTGGGGTTTTGGGGTTTTGGGGTTTTGGGG